TTTTTTTTTTTATCTCGAGTAATGGTCGGAGTCGTTGAAATAGAAGCTTGGAAAACATCGAGTCTGACCGTTTTTTGACAGCCGGTAGTCATTAATTAAGCTTGAGATCAGCTTGTTTATCAATATCAACATGTCGAACTCAAGCTTTAACGAATTTAACTATAGAATTTTATTGAAATTTATTTTCTAAGTCTGGTTGAGTAGAATTGAGCTCGGCTCAATAACTAAAAGATTCGAGCCTTAGGGTGTGTTTGTAAAAAAAAAATACTCAATACAAATTAATTCATACTCAAAATATAACTCAATTTAACTCAACCGCACCATCCTCAATATTATCAATATAATTAAATAATAACAACTAATTATTAAATAATAACAACCCATCACTGTTACACATCATATCAACTTTAATTAACTATTCATCCATTCACATAATTTTAACTAACAATTACTTCATAGTATATATATCCTACTTTTATATCAAATTAACATTAAGTATTTTATTTTAAATATTATTTTAATAAAAACTCAAAATTCACTAACAACTAATTATACCACTTTTTTAAATTCACCTCTACTTAACTAAAAAAAAAAACTCACTTTCAAATAATTTGAGTGAATTTTTTCTTTTACAAACACACCCTTAAAAACTCACTGAGTGACTTGTTTTTTATAACAATTTTACTAATGAGTCAATCAAATAATGCGACTCCATGATTCACGGGATTCTGCAATTCACACAAACTATGCGACTCGTTCTATATAAAACTTAACTAAGAATTAAATCCATCGATATATCATATCATATCATACTTTCTTATATAAAAATAATAGTTTATATTGTAAAAAAATGCTGAAATATCATTTTTTTTTTTTAATTTTATTTTAATTAATTAAAAAACAGACAAAAAGAGAAGGATCTCTGTCCAAGTTGTGCGCACACAAGACTAATTACAGCGCGAAGCAGACGATCAATCACTCACCTCACAAGAAAATTACTCTGCGCAATTTCTCATTTTCCACTCCTATAGACACTTTGAAGAACATCATCAACCAGAAATTGTTATTACCAACCAACACCTTCCTCAAATTTTGCACAAAGACGCCATTTTTTCATCTTCTCGAGCTTCGGATCCTAATCTTGGATGCGTCAAACTGTCAAACTCTCACCTTTTGCAGATCCCATTTAGGAAATATTCCGAAAGAGCCGAGGTTTGGTCGTCCGAGGAAAAAAAATAAAAAAATTCTGTAGGACTATTTGCTTGCAGCTTGATCTGATAGAAGAGCTATATCGGAGCTTTAATTCGGACCCAATCATGAATCCCTTTTCCTCCGGCACCCGGCTGAGGTTAGTGCTCGGCCGTCGCCGTTACCTCTTGTATTTTGGGGTTGTGTGATTGTGTTATGATATCAGTGGATCATCTGCATTTTTCTTCATTTTTTTCCCCTTTTCTCTTTGTTTGTTTTGCTAGAAAGAGTTTGCGTGAAAAGATTTCGGATTTAACTCTATCAAAGTTCAGTTTTTTTTAATTTATTTTTTGTTGGGCGTTTGATATTATTCGATCTGTGATTTATATTTCGTGAAAGGATGATATATCTTCTGCTCTGAAATAAGTGATACTATTGTAGGCTAGTTTTGTTATTGGATTATCATGTTAAAGTGGGGACTGTGTATACACTTAGAAATCATTGTTGGAGTTACTGCTGATTGGTGAAGAGTTGTACTGTTTTAGAGTACTCGTGGGGTGTATATCTAAGTCGAGCGATGATGTTATATTAGTCATGAAAAATCTGAAACATGGAATAAGGACTTATGGAGTAGGTTTAATCATGCAAAAGATTTGTGATTTTTGAGGAAGGATTCCACGTGATTACGAGGGAGATCGAATTTTCGTGCATTAATTTGTGTCTGACATGTGTTCAAAGAATGTTGGGAAAGATGATGGTTAGTTAGGATAGTTTTTGTTATTTGTTTTATCCATTTGACAAAATAAATGGATGGATATTCGGGGTGGATTTAGAAACATGGTTTTGAGAAAATCAGAAAGTAACCTCTTAATGGTGAAGCGACGTTGATTTACGCGGATAATTGATGTCATAGGGAGAACATTTTAGCAAAAATCTATTCTATGATCAGCGAGTTTATGAAGTTAAGAAAATATTTGATCATGGGAGGCTAAGTAATTATCACCCATTTGACTTAATTAAGGTGTAGTAGAATTTTCTATCTCTACAGAAGTGTCTCGTGCCTAACCAAATTGCTACATGTTTTTCTTGGTAACTTCTGTTCTCCTATTTGTCATTTTATATATATATATATATTTTTTTTCTCAGAACATTTCTTTATTATCATCGGACCACTGTACCTTTTCCCATTGCCTTTCATCTATAGTGTAAAAGTTCTTGTGTTAATTATGGATTATAGGTAAATGAGTTATATTTAATAAGCTAACTATTTTTCTTTCTAGGGACATGATTCGGGCTATTCGTGCTTGCAAAACTGCGGCCGAGGAGCGTGCCGTTGTAAGAAAAGAATGTGCTGAAATTCGTGCCGCGATTAGTGAAAACGATCAGTATTACAGGCATCGTAATTTGGCAAAGCTCATGTTCATTCACATGCTTGGTTACCCTACACATTTTGGTCAGATGGAGTGCCTTAAGTTAATTGCCTCACCGGGTTTCCCTGAGAAGAGAATAGGATATCTTGGCCTTATGTTGCTTCTCGATGAACGACAGGAAGTCCTGATGCTCGTTACCAACTCAATAAAACAGTATCCATTCTGAACTTGATTTTCCTTGCATATCGGTTATTTTTGTATATAGAATACATTGCACCCACATGATACTTATACCGAAGACAAAGTTCCATTTTGTTCTATACTCTACTGAAGTCATTGTTTAGGGTGTGATTGGATATTGATTTGATTAGTTTTTTCTATTTTTTAACCATAGTTAATTTTGAAAATGTGGTATGGTTAGTTGTTAGTGAGAATTTAAGTTTAAATTAAAATATTATTTAAAATAAATTTAAATTGATTTGATGTAAAAGCAAGAGAAAAATGATTAGAAGTGATGATTAGTTAAAATTATGTGTGGATGAATAGTGAATTAAAATTAATGTGATGTGTAATAATAATTGGTTGATATTATTTAATTATATTTATAATATTGAGGATAGTTGGGTTGGGTTAAAGTGGAGACACCTTAAAGTGGGGTTGGCTTTTTATCCGCTATAAATACCAACTGCATTTCATTTCAGACACCTTAACGTGTTCACAGAGATTTAAACCAAACCAATCAGTATATTGTTGGGCTTGCGCTTTGTGCCTTGGGAAATATTTGTTCTGCGGAAATGGCTCGTGATCTTGCTCCAGAAGTCGAAAGATTGCTTCAGTTCAGAGATCCTAATATACGTAAAAAGGTAATAATCTGTCTCTTGATCAAGAAAATAATAAGCTTACAATTGCTGTAAACTTATTGTTTGATGGTATTAGGAAGCTCCATAGGTGTTTTTGCAAAGCGTATCATAGTCATGCCTTTTCTCGAGAAAAAAAAAAAAATTGTCATGGCAATATTCTTAGTAGTGAAACTTATATGCGTCTGGTTCATTATCATTTCATATTTTCAGATAATTATTTGTACTTATCATAGTGCCATTTTTGTTTTCACATGCCTTTTCGTTTATTTTATGTTTCTAACTTCTAATTAGCTATAGGTCACAAATCTGAAATAAAATGTTTTTTTTTTCTTTAATAACCCTTCTCTCTATTATAATGTAGGCAGCATTATGCACCATAAGGATAATACGAAAAGTTCCTGACTTGGCAGAGAACTTCATAAATCCAGCGGCTGCCTTACTGAAAGAAAAGCATCATGGAGTATTAATAACAGGGGTCCAGCTTTGTACGGTTATGTCGAAATTAAGCATTGAGGCTCTTGAACATTTCAGAAAGGTTTTTTCCTTTTCCAACGTGTAATCTTTTTATTTTCTAAAGATAGCCTTTAGAAGCCAACATTTGATGAAGCTGACAGCTTGATTTTTTTTTTCTTTAGAAATCCATCGACAGCTTAGTCAAAGTTCTGAAGGATCTTGCAAACAGTCCATACGCTCCAGAGTATGATATATCTGGGATTACAGATCCTTTTCTTCAAATTAGATTGCTCAATCTTTTACGTGTGTTGGCCGAAGGCGATGCAGATGCTAGTGATGCTATGAACGATATTCTTGCTCAGGTAGAATTGGCATTTTATTTTTCATAATACTATTGTAGCACTTGAATTTTTTCAAAAGAGTGTGAATAAAAAACTTAGTAAATTGGCACTTGAATTTCTTCATTGGTGCTTCCAATAATAAATACTCTGTTGTCTATTGAAGTTCACTTGTTTTGTTTTGTTTCCCTCTTGTTGTAGGTGGCAACTAAGACCGAGTCGAATAAAAATGCGGGCAATGCGATTCTATATGAATGCGTTGCTACTATCATGTGCGTTGAAGATAATGGAGGACTAAGGGTACTTGCTATCAATATTCTGGGTAGATTTTTGTCTAGCCGTGATAACAATATCAGGTCATCTTCAATTTTTTTTTTCCTCTTATGATATGAGCTAATCGCAATCTATATGCTATATACCGATCTTAGTGATTGAGAAACCTTTTTTCTTGTTCTGTTCAAAGTTGTCTCCATATTTTCTTATTTTCTTTCTTTTTTATTTGATATTTACTTGGCAGTTAGATGCATATATATTAGCTTTATTTTGTATCTGATAAAAAAGAGGCATTATTTTCAGATATGTCGCATTGAATATGCTGATGAAAGCAATCGCCTTAGATAGTCAAGCAGTGCAGAGGCATCGAGTCACGATTCTGGAATGTGTAAAGGTGTGATGAGGCTACACTGTTTTATTACCCTTCCATATTTATAATGTCATTTTATATTTCTCTCGATTGTCACTTTGATCCTTTAAAAAGTACTACCTCCTATTTTAAATAGATGTCGTTTTGGGATGTTGCACATCTATTAAGAATATTTTTTTTGTCAATAATAACCTTATTTAATGAAGATAGAGATGAATGTTTTGAGAAAAAGATGAAGAGTGATTATGAAAAGACGTGATGTATTTATTAGCTAAATTAGGGTAATAATGGAAAAATATGTACAAAAGATTCAAAACGACATTTATTTAGCAAATAGTTGATAAAGCTAGAATGACATTTAAAAAAAATAGGAGGGAGTACATTTTTGCCGTAGATTTTTCGATTTTACTTCATTAGCTTTATTTTGTAATTTGGTTCTTGATGTAAATCTGTTTAGTCTTCTGTTTCTACTATCGACTAAAATTTAGTTCTTGATGTATACTACTTTCGGTCGTGCTTGGATACAAATATATTCGCTCAAAACAATTTTTT